TCCTCAAGGTTCACCCCTGTTATGCGGTGGCTTGCTGCTTCCTTGTTATTCTTCAAGGTAGCATAATATTCCATTGTGTGTATGTACCAGTTTGTTTATCCATTCTTCAGTTGATGGGCACTTAGGCTGTCTCCATCTTTTTGCTATTGTAAATAGCTGCTATGAACATTGGTGTGCATATATCTTCTCGTGTTGTGGCTCGTTTTTCTCACTGACTGATTTTTGGAAGTAGATTGCTGGGTCTTTTTGTCCCCTAGTCCATCTGAATCTGGAAGCTGTGCTGAAACCTTTTCACTATCGTTTAGAAAATAAAATACCCTATTATTGGATTAAAAAAAAGGATATCCTATTATTGGATAAAAGAATAATGTCTTATTATTGGATAAAAATATCCTTCTTGTGAAGACTCTTCTGTACGTCAGACAGAGAACTGGGATTTCCCAGAAAACTTATTGTGTGGAGCTGACTCTTTAGTAAGTTACCAAATAAGGAGCTGCTTATGAGAATGGACGAGATCCAAGATGTTCATACAAAAGACGGTGAAAAATGCCCACAGTTCATGTTCTCTCTGCTTTAACAACTTAAACACTTTGTACAGGAACCGTTTATGAGATTTCACTCTGAAGATGCATATTTCTTCTAGTGTCTGTATGTTGCCCTGAGTCATAAAGGATTTTTGTGTGTTTGCTTTTTATTCATAGGTTTTACTAGAAATAATAACAGGACTTCCAGCTGTGGATGAACACCGGGAACCCCAGTTATTGGTAATTGACAGATTCATTTTTCCAATCATTTCTCTATAAATATATATGAATAAATATATATGAGTCTAAATATATATGAGTAAGTTTGGAATCCAGAAGTGACATTTTCTGTTGGCATTCTTTCTGTTGGCAGTTGCATGGTGATCTATGGAATATTCCTAACATGAGATATTCCTAATCTCAACTCTGACATGAACTATTTGTGAAGCTTGAAGCATCACTTATATATTCTGTGTTCTAGTTCTTGTAAAAATGAAAATATCTGATTTTTGAGGTTTTCTCCAGTTTATTTTTATTTTGTTACTTTCAGGATGGTTATTAACAACATTTTCAGCTCAGGGAGAAAAAATGACATGACTTCCCTTCAAATTTGAATCTGAATAGAATTGCTAGTAAAAGTTCTCATCCATTTCTAATGTGGAATAGTGTATGTGTAATGTTATATAAAACTAATTTGTTTGATTAGCCATCTATTGACAGTTTTACATAAAATTATATTTAATAGCTAGTGAGTTTATGTTGGTAGATAGTGACCTGAAGCATATCAGAATAGGACTGGGCTTTATAGTATTTCCTGTGGCTGATTTTTGGAATCAGATTGCCACGTCTTTCCAAGATGTCTCTGAATGTACTAGAACCTCTAACCTTTTAGTTAGCAGCTAAATGTGTAACCGTTTGCATCACCCAAGGATTTGGAGTTATATAAAGTAGATTAACTGAATGCTAAAATTAGAGAAAAAGCACACCATGCCCTTCTTTTCTTACATGTTAAATTTTAAGAACTTCAAAATGGTTCGTTAAAAAAAAGAATTAACAAAATACCTATGCAACTTATAGGTCAGAGTCAAACTGCCCACAGAAGAGTTTGCAAGACTGTAAATCTTCACGGAAACAGACTACTGTGTCTTTCTCCTGTGGAGAGACTGGTGGGTTTGAACCTTTCTGTTAGCAGATGGGTGCTTTAACCACTGTGCTATTAGAATGCCTTACTATCATGCATAAGATTTTCTTAAAATTAGTGAAATAACTACACTGACTTTATTCTAATTCATATGTTCTAATGAGACAAAGCAGTGTAACAAATTCAGGTAAATGTGTATATTGGACAGGGTATTTATAAAGTCCAAAGGTGCAATATATCCACTCAAGGGTCTCATGGCATGCTCTTTTGAGAAAAGCCAACTACAATAACCTGTTGGCCATTGAATCATTGCTCACAGCGATCCTATAAGACAAGAGTCGAACTGCCCTACAAAATTACCAAGGCTGTAAATCTTTATGGAAGTAAACTGCCACATCTTTCTCCCATGGAGAGGCTGATGGGTTCAAACTGCTGACATTTCAGTTTGCAGTTAAGCTTTTAACCACTGCACCATAGGACTGTAAGTACAATATTTATATGTTATTATGTTGCATACAAGTATCTGTTATATAACTGTACACTATAAAGCCTTCCATGATGTACAGGAAATATAACAATGCAATAGAATAATCCCATTAAAGTATACTTTCAGAATATAATAGTAAAGCCTCTGTGTAGCTAGTATTTTTATTATATATGTGTCACTTAATGTCTATAATCCATTCTGTGAAAGTGGATGTTATGGGATTTGGATGTTGTGTGCATGCCATATTATATACAGATAGTCTCTGTACAGAGTTATGGTGTGGTGCTATAGGATAAGCATTGGACTGCTTTTCACAAGAGCGGCAGTTTAAACCCCCCAGCCACTCCTCAGAACCTTATGCAGGTTGAGTATGAGTAGGAACTGACTCAACAGCACTTAGCAACAACAATAACAGTCCCTGTATTGTTAAAGTCCCATAAAGCCTATTAGACTAAAACCTTATGCAAGCATGCTGGACAAAGCTTGAAAGCTGTGTCTACTGGGTACAGGAGGCCAGCCTTGCTGGGTAAGCAGCTTGGCCAGGCAGGGACTGTGTTGGCAGCCACATTGGACCTTGCATGCACATCATGGGATAGGGCGGTATGACTGCAGGGACCTGGTGTACAGGTGCCAGGAACAAGGCTGGCAGTGATGGCTGTAGCTGCCGTCACCCTGTTGGTGTAGCCACTTCCTGATCATGTGCAGCCAGCACCCATGGTAGGAGCACAGGAGGCAGGCAGGCACTGATGCTTTGTGGGCGAGAAAGGCTGCCTGGCTGCTGGGCAGGTAAATGAAGTCAGGATGAGGTCAACAAAGAGGCATTGTATGGATTTGGGCACACTCTGGAGCATAGCTGCTCATTCACTCTGGAGGTGTGGGGTCCTTAAAACCACTGTTGTTAAGTTTTGTCAAGTCCTTTCCAACTTGTAGTGACCCTGTATATGGTTTCCAAGGTTGTACATCTTTGTAGGAACAGAAAACGTCATCTTTCTTCCTTGGAGCAGTTGGTAGGCTCAAACTGCTGACTTTGTGGTTTGTAGTCAAGTGCTCAAGGTATGGAGTCACTGCACTTCTCTGAAAACTATTAGGAGGAAGTAATAAACTAAAGGAGACTTGCTTTTTCCTTTAAAAACAAACAAACAAAAACCCTTCTGAGACTACAGACACCTATGAAGTTGGCCATTGCTGGAGCAGACGTTAAGCAACCCATACCTATAAATGGATTTTTTCACAGTGACACATAAAAAGTGAAATTTTGTTGGGTGTTAGGAAAAAAGACTGGGTTACAAACACCATCTTTTGAGTCATTAGTGTGCAGACATAAAACTTGGATTGGTGGATACAGAGAAAGTGTAGTGATTACAAATATAGGAGGGCAAGAGAAAGAAAAGATATTATACTAGGGCTAAAACTGAGACCCAGTGTTTCACTAAACTGCAGTTTGTACTTTTTAGCAATGTCTTTCTGTCTAGAGACATAACTTTTTCATCCTTTGCCTGAGACTCCCTCGCCCCTTACCACCTTGACAATATTGGTATCAAAACCTCAAAACTTTGACTTGAGTAAGAATGAAATACAGAAAACACAGAATACATCTCACTCACAAGTTTTACTCTTCACCTTATAATTTGTTGTTGTTAAGTGTTGTTGAGTCAGTTCAGACACTGTGACCTAGCATAGGGTTTCACAGTGAAACAGTATAGGATTTCCAAGGAGCGGCTGGTGGGTTTGAAACACTGACATTGTGGTCAGCAGTCCAGTGTTTATCCTATAGCACCTCACCAGGACTCCTCACCTTCTTATAGTGAACATCATAAACTTTGTTGTTGTTGTTGTTGTTAAGTGCCATCGAGTCAGTTCCGACCCATAGCGACCCTGTACAGGGTTTCCGAGAGTGTAAATCTTTACAGGAGTAGAAAGCCTGATCTTTCTCCCATGGAGCGGCTGGTAGTTTCGAACCTCTGACCTTAAGGTTCACAGCCCGATTTGTAACCACTACGCTACCAGAGCTCCTTAACTTTAGGGAAGGTTATATACGTTTTCACCCATTCTTAAGGCTGGAATATGGTTTGAATATAAAGTAAAATTTTAATACAAATGCAGCTAAAAAAAAGAGTGACCCTATAAAGCACCTGCTGATGTGGTGTTGCAGGATAAAGCACTGAACCACAGGTCGGTTTGAACCTCAAGGTCAGTGGTTCAAACTCACCAGCCGTTCTTCAGAAATCCTATGCAGAGTCTCTGTGAGTCAGACCTATTTGACAGCACTTAACAAAAACAACAATCACTTATTTGATTCTGCCAGTGCCTAAGCACTTTCAAAATGCTGCTTTTAGGAGTGCCTATTGAGCGTTTACAATCTACTTCAAATAGATCGTATTTTTCATCATTAGTCCTGCTCCTTCCTCATCATTCTGTTTTTCATTCTGATCCTTTCCTGTCCTACAACCTACCCCCACTTTTTGCTCTTTGATTCAACAAAGTGAGTATGCATAGGGAAGATGTTTTCTGAGTGCAGTGAGGAAACTTGAAGGAGGAAACACAGTGCAGTGAGGAAACTTGAATTTGGAAACACATGAAGAAGAAGCAGACCACCTGTGCCATCAGCCCAGTAAATGCTGCAAATGGGAACACGAGAGCGATTAAATCGCTCAGTAACATAAAAACCAAAATTAGAGCACAAATGACCCAGAGTAAAAATGTGTGACTTCTCTTGTGTAACTTCAATTCTTAAAGATGGAAAGATAGTCAAATGAGAATGCATGTTATTATTATGAAGTAGATTATGTAATTTCAATTTCTATTCTAACTTCTCTCACTTTTATTTGAAGTTCCTAACAAAGTTTAACCCTCATTTTAAAGCTCGATATCAAAGAAGAAATTGAAGATGAAGAAAAGACTATTGAAGATTATATTGATAAGAAGATGGAAGACGTTGATTCCAGTTCAGTTGAAACTATGTACTCTGTGGCTAGTCAGTGTCTGCATGAAAAGAAAAACAAGAGACCAGACATTAACAAGGTATTGCATTTTAACACTTATTTAAAAACTAATGGGAGTGAGGTTAGCAATTTTTTCATAAATGTGCATTTCAAACCAACTACTTGATGTGGTTCTTTTTCCTTTTTCTTGTTTCTTTTTAAAGGTTCAGCAGCTGCTGCAAGAGATGACAACTTCATGATTTCTTAAAGTTTACTGGAATAGACTATTGACGGCACTTAACAACATTGATTTTATATATATATATACTGCTTTACAAACCATTTTTTATAAACTAAATTTTTTGATAAATATTCTTCTTTAACTAGGCAACAAGATGTAGTGTGGTGATTTTTCAAACTAAACATGTAGAACAGATAAAAACAACTGCTTTATCAACATTTAGCCCGACCCTTATTAGTGTCACCGTCAGTTCCTGTAGTAGTTCTTAAGACTACAGAACATTTAGGTTTCATCAAACACAATCTGAAAGCTACACGATTAACTTTTAAAAAAGGGGGATGGGTATAAAATCAAACGACCTGAGCCAGAAGCCCAACTCAATTTGCTCTAGAGCAAGGGTGGGGAACATCCGACCCTTGGGCCTTGGGCCTTATGCCAGCAAAATCATTTGGCCAAGGAAACCACAGTTGCAGTCATCACGTCTGTTGTTGTTAGGTGCCATCGAGTCGGTACCGACTCATAGCGACCTTATGCACAGCAGAATGAAACACTGCCCAATCCTGGGCCAACCTCACTACTGTTGCCATGCTTGAATCTATCGATGCTGCTCCTTGGCCAATCCATCTCACTGGGGGTCTTCCTCTTTTTCTCTGACCCTTCACCTTACCAAACATGATATCCTTCTCCAGTGACTGGTCCCTCCTGACAATATGTCCAAAGTATGAGAGACGAAGTTTGGCCATCTTGGTCTCCAGGGAGCACTCTGGCTGCTCTTCTTCCAAAACGGATCTATTGGTTCTTTTGGCAGCCCATAGCACTTTCAATATTCTCTTCCAACACCATAACTCAAAGGCATCAATTCTTCTATGATCTTCCTTATTTACTGTCCAACTTTTGCATGCATATGAGGTTATTGAAAATACCATGGCTTGGGTAAGGTGCACCTTAGTCCTCAAGCTGACATCTTTACTCTTCAACACTTTTAAAGGGTCTTGTGCAGCAGATTTGTCTAAGGCAATACGTCGTTTGATTTCTTGACTGCTGCTTCCACGAATGTTGATAGTTGATCCAAGAATAATGAAGTCCTTAACACCTTATCTCTGTTGACAAGAATGTTGTTTATTGGCCCAGTGGTGAGGATTTTTTGTTTTCTTTACATTGCAATGCAATCCATACGGAGGCTGTGCTCTTTGATCTTCATTAGTAAATGTTTCAAGTCCTCTTCACTTTCAGCAAGCAAGGTTGTATCATCTGCATATCGCAGGTTGTTAATGAGTCTTCCTCCTACAGTGGTAAGTTAAATGTTTGACCAAATACAGCAGGCTAATTTTTAAATCGATAATATTGTATGGCCCATAAACGATCTTTTAAATTTTGTCAGAAAAAACGTTCCCCACCCACGTTCTAGAGCTCTGGACAGTCTCAGTTCTTTTGAGCCTGAGGTTTCTGTTTTCCTTTGTTTATAACATTGAATGAATTAATATTTTATGTGCCTCTCTGAACATCAAATGATGTAGAATATGTGCAAGCACTTCATAAAATGTAAGGTGATATAAAATTTAAAGATTATAAATCCAACTATATAATTCTGTTACAGTGATAGGGCATCATATTCATAGTTTGTGATTTTAAATAATGGTTAATACTAAATATCCCCTGATGATTTTCGTATACTCCCATGATTAGATTAGATTAGATGGTAAAGGTGTGTGACAGTTGAGGTGTTTTTATGTCAGCTTGGCTGATCTAGGATTCTCAGTGGGTTAGCAATTAAAATGTAGCAGTCACCTCTATGAGGGCCTCTAATAAGATGTAATCATCCCCCATGATGTGATCTGATATGGTCTGATGTGATCAACCCTAATATGATGTCATTAGCATATGTATAATAAATCCTTACTTCCAGGATGCTAATTACAGGATACAGTCTATAGGATTAGGTTGTATTTTGAGTCAATCTCTTTTAAGATATAAAAGATTAAACAGGCAAGCAGCGCTCGGGGAGACCTCCTACCAAGAAAGAAGAGCTGGGAGTGGTGGCATCCTTTGGACCTGGGGTCTCTGCCCTGCGATACTTCTAGAACAGGGAAGAACTCCGAGGAATCCTGGGCTACAGAGGCTGAAAAGAGACAAGGTTCTTTCTCCAGAGCCAGTGCTCTGGATTGGGATTTCTAGTCTCCTAGACTCTAAGAGAATACATTTATATCTGTTAAAGCCATCTACTTGTGGTATTTCTTTAATAGTAGCACTAGATAACCAAGACAAGATGATAGGGCAAGGTGTAATTAAGGTCCCTAATCAGCTGACTTTGAATAATCAAAAGGAATATTTCGCTGGGTGGGCCTGACCTAATCAGGTGAGTCAATACAAGAACTCTGAGAGATTCTTCTACTGACCTTGAAGAAGGTGCCATGTTGTAAGAGGGCTACACTGACCAAGACCTCTATGAGCTGAGAACTATCCTCAACAATTAGCCAGCAAGAAAAAACAGGACCATTATTGTACAGCCGCAAGGAACTGAATTCTGCCAATAACCTGAATACACTTAGAAGATGTTCAGATAATACAGCAGCCCCACCCTGACTTTAGCTTTATGAAACCTGACTAGAGAATCTGTCTGAACTATGCCTGGACTTCTGTGAGATCATAAATGGGTTGTATTCCATCACTAAGTGTGTAATAATTTATTATGCAACAGAAAACCATACAGATAGTCCTTCATATGGCCAGCTACTGTCCACACTCAAGAGATGAAGCTTATGTACACCAGGAGGTTCTGGTATACTGATCACCACCAAGTTTCTCTTTTCTTCAATCCCAACTTTGGTAGTTCGTTCTGTTCATTCATTTGTTTTATCGTGGAGCCTTGAAGATCTTTGGTTAATAGTGGTGAATTAATATTTTTAAATGGTTTTTATTTCTTCTCAGTTTAAACTTCTCAGTTGATGTATAACATTTAAAAGTTCATTTTTACAGCTTTGGGTGAAGGGGAGGAAGTAATTTATATAAGCATGAAAACTGTTACCGGAAAAACTAATATGTGTAGAAGGAATACTTTTGTTACTATTGTTACTAAGTGCCATCAAGTCAGTATCCGACTCAGAGTGACCTTGTACAGGGTTTCCAAGGAGCAACTGGTGAGCCGACTTTACAGTCCAGCGCATTAACCAACAGCATCACACTAGGACTCCAGAAGGAATACTTAGTGTCTGGAATTATTCGTTCCTTCAACATCCCTTGATGTCATTTAGTTCTTTCAGTAACACACTCAGAACAATAGCTGGTAAAATGGGTGATAGCAGAAGACGGTCCTCCTCGGTAGTGTAATGTGTGTTGTTGTTAGTTGCCAGTGAGTCAGCCCTGATGCAGGGTAACCCCACACCCTCTACATGATCCGTTGCAGATTCAACTGTTAAGATCCATAGGGTTTTCACTGGGTTTTTTTGGAAGTATATCACTGAGACCTTTCTTCCTACTCTGTCGTAGTCTGGAAGCCCCACTGAAACCTGCTTAGCATCACGGTGATACACAAGTCTTGACTGAAAGCTGGGTGAAGGCTGCACTGGTGGAGTGTGGGCAGAGAATCAAACCCAGGTCTGGCACATAGAAGGTGAAAATTCTACCACAGAACCACCACTACCCTTGTTTCCTAGGGAACAAGGATAGCACATCTTTAAAATCATCTTTTCAAATTATGTAACTAAGCAGAAATAATTATTTTCTAGTTGAAAGAGAAAAAGGAGAGCAAAAAATAGTTTAACATAAGCTAATTTTAACAAGAACCCACATAATTGGGGGCACAGTATGGTTTCTAACAATCATAATCTATTATTGTTAAATCTAATAACCATTAAACTGGAGTCCTGGTGTGGCACTATAGGATAAGCACTCAACCTCAAGGTCAGTTTGAACCACAAGATTGGCGGTTCAAATACACGAGCCGCTCCTCAGAAACCCTATACAGGGTTCCTATGAGTTGGAACCAACTCAACAACACTTAGCAACAGCAATAATTATTAAACTATTTCTTGAACTAAAAGTACATATGTAAAATGGCATATATGAAGTTCTGCTTATGAACTGTGACCAAACTATGGTTTTTCTTACTGATTTTTGAAAATTTATAGGATTTGGTGGACACATTTTATCAAGTGTAATTAATATATTTATAAAATTAGGCCTTGTTTTCTGTAAAATGCTGGTTGCAATAGTAATAATAGTAGCATCAGTAGTATCCATAGCATTTGAACCTATCAAACGTCGTCAGTGGGTAACACGAATGAAGATCAGCCCAAGGCTGATCCCTAGGAGGCAGAGGTCAGATAGACCTCCATTCTGTTTGCCAAGGTGTCCCTCCCATAACACTCTACTTCTCTCCTGGGTTTGAGAATCCATTGTAACGTCCACACAGAACCACACCATATTTACAATACAGTGGTTTATTAAAGAACAAGTTACCGCTTGGAATCAGGGTCAACAGGAATCAGGATCAGGAAGCATGGAGACGGTCCTTCTGCTTCAGCTCAGAACAGCTGTCTCAGCTCTGTTCCACTGTGCAGCTCTCTAAGGACAAGCACTGGCTCCTGTTGTCTGTCACGGACAGCTCTGCCACTGGGCCCCTTCCAGACCCCTTGCTGTCGTCAATCTTACAGACCTTGAGCGTTGTTACAGCTCTTTTAGGAGGTTCCTTGCACAATCTCACTCTCATCTCAGCTCTTTCTGTTGAAAAACTTCTGTGGGGCTGACTACTTATAGCTCCCAACACCTCATCAATGTCAAGGCAAGGCCCTCTCAACAAGGCCACAAACTGACTAATTCCATCTTGGTAAGTCCCAGGCACTTCATCTGCATAGTAAGCATGTTGTTGTTAAGTGCTGCAAAGTGGTTCCAACTCAAAGGCACCCTGTGTTGTGTTTCTGAGGAGCAGTTGGTGAGTTTGAACCACTAGCTTTGTGGTTCAAACTGACTTTGAAGTAGAGTGCTTATCCTAAGGTACCACAATAGCTGAGCTAAAACTTT